CACACCTCAACCCGCCTCAAAGCCAACGCTGATTGGACGTTCGTTTGGTGAACGGCTCCAAACTTTCTTTAACGGAGAGTCTCCAGACCGATTAGCGAGTGAAACCTTGAAAGCTCGCGAGATCAGGATGGTCTCACGAGGCTACTAAACTTTAGCTATGCTTAAAAAGACAAATACCAAACATGCAAGTTTGGTATTATAATTAAAAGAGATTTGGAAGTATGAAAAACAAAAGACTACAAAAACGTTTATGAAGTGTGGGAGAACTGGTTACAAAAAAAAAAAAAATACATAAAAAACCCCACAAGACTTCTAATGCATAATTGTTTTTCTTTTATTTGTTTTTGTGGGTCTACTTTTGGTAATTTAACAAAAAGTCGACTGTTGGGCTGAATACAAAATCTGATTTCATTTATTATAAAGTGGCATGCCAAGGAATGTTGAAAAAAATATTCCCACGTATTGCCTACTTATTTTGCATTGTCACATTAAAATCACCATAAAATAGTTTCTCTCCTAAACTCAAACATTGTCCCTTCATCCATATGTACAGGTACGTATTGGATTGGAGTTCCAGGGGAAATTCGGGGCTATGAAAAGGCTCACAAGCTATTTGGAAAATTGCCTTGGGCCGACCTCTTCCAATGGACCATTAAGCAGGCCAGAGAAGGAATCAAGGTTCCTCGAATTCAAGGCTGCTACATCCAAAAAATTTCAGAAAACGATTCCGTAAGGTACTGTATAGAAGGCAATACCACTCAGTGTGGCTGAAAAAGGATAACAAAGCTTTACATTTGAACTCTTCTCAGGAAGGCATTTATAGATGAAAAACGAAACCTGCTCAAGACTGGAGACATCATTAAATTTGAGAAGCTGGCCGACACTTTGGAGACGATTGCAAACGTTGGAGCAGAAGCCTTTTACTCTGGAAGGATAGCAGAGGATTTGGTCAGAGACGTGCAGGAGGCAGGTATTGTCAGAACACTTTCCTCTATGTCTGCATGGCTCAATGATTGAATTATAAATGAGCAAATCAATTTGATCTGTATGCACCACAGCAATCTCTCAGACAGCAGCTGATCTATTAAAGGTCAGGATTTATAAGCTGGTTTGGTTTTCATGATTTCTGTCGTTTATTTTGTTGTTTTTTCCCAGGAGGAAAACTCACACTGGAGGACTTGGCATCATATAAGGTTAAAGTGACTGATGCGTGGAACATCTCTATTGGGGACTATCAGATGTACATACCCCCTCCCCCCTCAGGAGGGGTACTTCTCTGCCTCGTCCTCAACATCATGAAAGGTTGCAGCTGGATTCAGACATCAGATCTGTGGATTCTCTCTATGTACAAAATGAAGTGTAGCATAAAAAATATGTTTGAAACAGGAGAATGCTGTGTTCTGGTTACCTGTACTAACATTTATCCTAAAATACATCATGTGGGAAGAGTTTTGATAAATTTTAGGAAATGATGTAGAGTGACAATGGATGGGAAAACATGTGAGTTAAAAGGAAGTATTATTTCTGTTCACAGAATTTAAGAAGGAGTTAAAGAATTCTACAAATACCACTTTGTTTTATCAACGGTATAGAGAAGCTTTAAAGTTTGCTAATGAACTGAGAAACTTTACAATGGATCCGGATTGTGGTAATTGTAATTTGGAGGTAAGTACCGTACATTAAACAATGCAATATAAAGTATTTGTTCATTTATGTGCACAAGTTTAAATAACTGCAATTGAGGAACCAGCTGATGGTTGGAATCAGACGGTTTCTTGGGGGATCAGTCCCTGACTTATCCTCGAGAATGTAGTTAGCAAGGAAGTGAGCATACCAATAGTTTTATTTATACACTCTAAATCAGCAAAGATTTGGGACTAAGGAAATAAAATGGAATAAATTGGTTTTCAAACCATTAGGATGACCTCATCAAGTTATCTCATGCATAATTATTTTCTTTCATTTGTTTTTAACAGAATGCAAAAAAGATTTTAGACTCTAGCTATGCTAAAGACATATGGAGAAACATCACATATAAAAAAGAACCCAAAAACCAGATGAAATATGAGGGCGGCTCTGGTACAACACACTTATCTGTCCTGGATGAGTCTGGAATTGCTGTCTCTGTCACCAGCTCCATCAACGCTTTGTTAGTATCTGATATGTTCTGCTTTGATGGGGGCATCTTCTGAGGCTTTAGAGGACTGACCCAGCAGGGGCCACAGATTTGTCTCTTTCTTTGCTCCGGGGTTCTTCCGTTTGCTTGCCTGCTCTCATGTTTGTTATTCTGCCTCACTCTATTCTGTTACTGTCACTACTATGTCCGTGCCTAATGTCCCGTTCTGTCAGTTCAGCTCCTGTAAGACTCATCTTTTTCACCATTAAGTAACCTATTTTACCTTCAGTCAAGCTCTACTTTTGGATCCTTTACAAGATAATCAACAAAAGGTTTAATTAGAGCTTTTTAAATGAGAAGTCCAGTCACCAAGGAATAATTAATGGATCATTATTTATACCTAAAACTAGTACGTTCGCAGTGATTCAATAGATTTAATCAGTGAAAAAATAAAAATAATAATTTTTGTCATAATCAGTGAGTCTGGGAGCGGCCATTTTTTGCTCAAATATAGTAACCCCTCCCTCCTGCCATCTTCCGGCTGTGACATCACGGTGCGGTAAGCCTAGCACCATTCTCCCCGCTTTACAAGCAAAATTAATGGGAACTACTAGACACATCTGCAATTTCATAACAAAATGGCAACAG